GACTAACAAGTACACCTCCGCACCTGTAGGTGTCGCTGCACAGAGCGCGGAGCTGCAGACGTGACGCGTTTCTCCGGCACTCGTTGGTGTTCAGCGCATGTGCAGCCGGATGTGGGTCATTATCAGCAGTAGCATCGTGGTTTATGGACGGCTAAGTGAGTGTTTGTCTCAGTTTGTGTGGCGTTTGTAGCTTCCAACAGCGAAAAATGAGTGAAAGTGGCGCCGAAGCGGCTCCTGCTGCGGCCAAAGAGCTGCTGGCGCTGAATCCTGCACAGGAGTCCGACTTCAGAAAGAAGGTTCAGGAGGTGAAGAAGAAGAAATCAGGCAAGGTGGGTGAGACATGTGGCCTTGAAGGAGACCCGATAGTCTGCAGTTATTTTCCTTTTGTTTACTGTCGCTGAGTTTACTCTCAGACTGCGTATGTCTTTCTCTGTAGTCTGTGTTTAACTCGGGTTCAGGTGCCGTGACATCTTTACAGGCTCGTGGTCTTTACTCTGTCAGTCGGCCCACGTGCAGCGTATTTACTCAGGTTTACAGATGTAAGGCAGGCCCATTTAAAAAAAGAAGAAGAAATGACACCCTGTCTCAAATTATTAAGTTTACGGACTGAGAGGAAGATTAATGTTATTACAGTAAAGAAATAAAGAGAACTGCCCCCAAAGAAATGTGACCAAACTGAATGCAAACTGATTTAAACAAGAAAATCTGTAAATGAGGCGAACATCTGTATGTTTAATTTATATAAATTGTATTTATTTTGTACTTTTATTTTGTAGACTTTTTAAAAGCCGGTCTGGGAAAAATAAATCTTTAAAGTACCGCATTTTCTTTTCTCAAAATTTAGTCTGTGCATTATATTGTATTATAATCTGATCACAGGTGAAGGCCCAGCTATCTGTGTAATGTGGTGATCTGTCTTTTCCCCATCACAGGCAAACCGTCTGACCCCTGGAGTGATTTACGTCAGCCACCTGCCCCGAAACCTGGTGGAGCCTCAGCTCAAATCTTACTTCGGTCAGTTTGGGAAGATCCTGCGGCTGCGGCTGTCCCGCAGTAAGAAGGTAACCCTGAACATGTGGAAACAAACGTGTGAATGTGTGAGGGGCGATCAGAATCTTCAACTGCATCTGTAAAACTTTCACAGCTATTGCAGCGATGTATCACTTCCTTCAAACTTCACTTGGAGTCTTTTTTTTTTTTTTGATAAATCTTTAGAGGGAAATGGTCACTGAGAGGCTGATTATAGATTGTGAGGTTTGAGGCCTCATAGCCAGAACAGAAACTTCCAGATAAAAATTTCGGGTATAACTCACCAGAAAAGGAGCCCACATGTTGCATCTAAGCAAAAAATGACCTTTGAACTATAACTTGGTAAAAAGTTGCAGGGATTTGTCTCCTGAAAGCAGTAACAAAGTAATAAAACTGACTCCCAACACCTCCGTGTTCAGCAGGAGCAGTTGAGGAACTTCTTGATTGCCATTCTTGAATCCAGCACGCTCTGCAAACATTCAGATTTCTTTATTTTGGTTCAAGTAGTCCAGACAGGAGCCTGTTTGAAGCTCCACTTCTTAAAATCTGGAGTTTTGGCTGAGACTGAAAATGATCTCAGATGTAAAAGTGGTCTGAGGTCAGATAACTGAGCCTAGAGTACTCTGGTGCATTAAGCTTATCACCTGCTCTGCCTGTTATCAGAGTGATAAAACCCATGTGCCAACAAACATCTGGAGGGAATGAAAACATCTGGAGGGCAGAATCTGTGACTGTCACGTTATTCCTCTCTCTGTTTGTTTGCAGACTGGTAACAGCAAAGGTTACGCTTTCATCGAGTTTGACTGCGATGAAGTGGCGAAGATCGTCGCAGAGACTATGAATAATTACCTGATGGGAGAGAGACTCATCAAATGTGAGTCAAAGCTCATCTTTTACTTCCTGATTAACAGGAAGTTTTCCTCTAAGGGTCTTATTTCCTACCTGATGTTTATTTAAATTTATACTTTCTTTTTTTTTTTTTCCTCCCAGGTCAGGTGTTTCCTCCTGAGAAGGTGCACGAGAAGCTGTTTGTCGGCTCGGAGCGAGGGTTCAAAAAGCCGACGCATCCCGCGGTAACGCGTTACAACAAGCAGCACACGGAGGAGGAAATTGCAAAAATGACCGGCAAGCTGCTGCGCAAAGAGTCAAGGCTCCGAAAGAGGATCGCAGCATACGGCATCGAGTACGAATTCCCCGGATTCGTAAGTGTTTACACGCTGGAGTGGAAACATTAAACGAATTTAGGTTTTAAAAACTGGAAATGTGCCGTGACATGGCGGCATATTTAAAGGCGTCTGATCTAAGTAATGGATTTCTTCCAACTAAATTCCAAACAGCGTGCAGCTGTGATCTGTTCAGAAGCTTCAGTTTTTACAAAAAAGAAAAAGGATTTTCAGAGAATTACAGGCTGATAACAGCGATTTGGAATACTGCTGATTCCATATAAATTCAACTGAATCTGGAAAAACGTTCCCACCTGCCCCCCTCAGAATCATCTGGTTATTTACAGAAACTTTAGATTATTTAATGAAGCCATGCACACTTTTACCCTCACGCTTTCTTTCGAGTCATTCCCTGCAGGAATCTCCCCACTTCAAATATAAATGCCACAAACTAAACTGTGGGCTGTTTGTAGCTTAATAAAAAGGTTTTCAAAGTATGAAATCCCGTGATGTGCTGCGATTTAAGCCTGCGGGCTGCTGGGACTTGCAGTAGACACCCTGCACAGTAAACAGTGAAAACTACAATCAGTGTCTTCATACTCTTTATTCTGTCTGAGCAACAGTCCAGAAAGTCAAAGCAGATTCTCTTTAACGTCAGGCCTCAGTTACTGTGTGCAGTCAGGATGTTACACTGTCAGCTCGGCTTGGTAAAAAAAGTCAATATTTTTTTTGTTTTGAGACTGTTTATTTTTTCCGAGGTCTTATAAACTTCACCTTCACTGCTCTCTGCGCTCTTCCAGGCGGCTCAGGTTCCTAAGAAGAAGTCGTCCTCCGATGCCGGGAACGTATCTTCGTGCACTGACGTAAGTCTTGTTGTCATGTTTGGTTTTATGTCGGGCGCAGACTGAAAATGGCCCCGGGTCTCTCAGTGGTCTGGGGCCAGATAACTGCGCCTAAAGAACTGCGGTGCGTTAAGCTTATTGCGCGAGTCTGATAGTGCCAGCGTGATAAAACCCATGTACCAACATTTAAGCCTTTTACTTAAAATAGATGCATTTAACAACAAAATCTGCAAAAAAGGATTGATATCATCCAGAGAGACTGAAGAAAGGTGTTGAATTTGATGCCTTAGCATCTTGCTGTACTTTCATGCAGTACTGGTTTTTACCACAAGGTGGAGCAGTGAGTCAGCATCATCTTTGCTCTTCTTTAGGACAGCACACCTGTCTGCACACCCTCTTTCCTCGAGAGAAGGAAGTCCACGGCGGCGGAAAATGATGCTGATGATGAGATCATCATCAAGATGCCAGCTGTAGACAAAGAGGAAGACTCTGAGGAGGAAGAAGAGGAGGAGGAAGAGGAAGAAGAAGGGAGTGACGACGAGGAGGAAGAGGGAAGCGAGGAGGACTCTGAGGAGGAGGCTGAGTGAAAGTCCTGAGTTTTGTTGTGGACTCTGAGAGCAGAGAAACGAACGTCAGGATCCTGAACTGAATTGTTCTGTGTTCAGAAATCGAGGGGACATGTTTGTGTGACGGACACCGCTGAAGACGAGCTGCGACCGCGCGTGTACGACACACGAGGCTGCGTTTAGATTTTTTGCTTCGTCTAAAAATGTGTAAACTATAATTCTTCAACAATAAATGTAAATATGGAAGGAAAGCAGGTGGGAAGGTAGCTCGCCTGTTATCGCTTCACATTTCAGCCACAGACTGTATTTAAAAGATGGTCGTAACCAAAGGGGCGTCACCTTTGTTGAGGATACCTGCCACCATTTACTTCTCAATTTCTGGTGTGTGTGTGTGTGTGTGTGTGTGTGTGTGTGTGACATTTATTGATTATTTATGGAATACACTTTAACTGCCGTGTATTCATCAGACCTCTGATAACTGAGGTAATTTTGATCGCAGCACATCTGTGAATTTATTAAATATTTTCCCAAATAAAATTAAAAGTTTATATTAAAACCAACCAGAGATTTCCGATTTGTTTTATAGCCTCAGATTTTCCAGTGTTGCACTTTTAGACGTCGTCTAAACGCCCGTTCACCCTTACTGGAGATTCGACTCAGTGGAATTCTACATCATGACCACAAACGCCTCTGAAACCCGACCCTGACTAAATGGCATGTCGACAAAGCTCACGCCTCTTGTGATTGGCCTGTTGAGTACCATCAGCCCTCCTGTTTCCAGCTACGTTTTTGGGGCAGTTCTTGAATTTAGCCGTCAGAATAAAATCATTGTGTCAGTATAAGGAAAAATAATCATACGGTCAATATAAGGACACAAATGTCTGCAAATTCATGGTGGGAGATGGCTGAGACCTTCAGAATGAGCAAAGAAGTGAAAAAACTAGAGGGACAAATTTAAGAGTGAGAACCTAGAGAGGGGAAAAAATACCTGGCTTTTTGATTGTATCAGCTGTCAAGTAAAAAAGGGGCATAACCTCACCATAAATGCCGCTGCTAACATAGGCTACATTATTGACTCTGCAAAGACTCATTGCAGAAGTCTAAATCAGGTCTCTGATGAACACTTTTTGGGTGAAAGTTGGTGCGTCTGTGTTTCCTGAAGTCAACGCACGTGGGGTGAACTTGTGCGTGGACTGATTTATGGACAAAAAGATGTGACAGCATGTACAGGCCAGTGTAGAAACATAAAAATGGAGAATCGGGGTGAATCTGCAGTCCCTCCTGTGTAGCTTCATCTCATTTTAGTCCATTTAAAATTCAAACTTCTGACGGATAGTCTGGCTCTTTAGGAATTAAACAAGCATCTGCCGCAGCAGAATCATCGTATTTAAAAACTAAGTCGACTAATGAGGAAGAGCATGCTTGTTAGTGTGCAGAGTGCTCCAGCATTGACAGATTTCTGCTTTTAAAAATGAATGATGTAAGCGTCTGAATAAACTGCTGTACTGTAGTGAACTTTTAAAAGAGCTTTGGAAAAACACACAAAAAACTAATTTCTCTGTTGAGTAAAATCTGAAGCTCGCACACTTTGCGGTAGTTTCCCGGGAGAAACCAAAGCTGGAGGCAGTGCAGAGAAACTCAGCAGGGGAAACAGGAGTGCTGAGCTGGTGACGTTTTGAAGAATCGAGCTGAAAGTTTTTCTCTGAATCGAGGGGACGCTGTGACTGCTCGCTCGTTCACTAACAACTAATGACAATAAACATACGTGTGTTTATCTTTGAACTTTATTTAATTCAGCTTAATAAAGTGTGACTTAATAATGCATATGTCTCTTTGAAATGAAGCTGTTGAACTGATTTGTTTTTTAAAGGTGTTAAATGTGTTTAGTCTTTCAATTTAAACTTTAAGTAGAAAATTTGCTTTCTTTTTTTATTTTTAAACTGAAAAAAGGGTGTCCCGATAAAACCCTGCAAAACCCCCGCATTATAAATAGAACTTCCCACTTCCTGTTTGACAGGCTGGACCTTCAGTGTGGAGCACTTCTCTGTAACAATATGAAAGTTTTGAGTGTGTGGTTAGTTTTTACAGCGAGAAAAAGCTGGCGAGCGGGGAAAATCCTTGCAGGAGAGATCAGAAACTCCACACAATTTGTTTTATTACCAGTAAAAGGGCTGAAAAAAATTCCGTACTTCAGCATAAGTAATGTGACGCTCCTGAACTGGCCTCTGTTTACTATTCATTTACAGGAAATCTGAGAAATGCAACTGACTCAGTCTTTGTTTTATGTGTAAAACATTTCTCTAAACTTTCTATGAGTAACAGCTGTGACACAGTTGTATGATTTGGTTCCTGAAAAAAATTGCAGCAATCGTTAAGTCCTGTTGGGTAAAACTGATTGATACTGATGCTCACCTGTAGAGACGATCCATACCAACGCTGGGATTGGTATCGGATCAATAATCAGGCTCTATCCTCCAAGTTCAGCATGTAGCCCACTGAATTGTTGTTGTTGTTTTTTTTAGAAATTAAAAAATGTACTTCAATCATGCACAATAAAAAATCTCTGAATCTGTTTGTGTTGAATGTCACATCTTTGAATAATAGCCGACAGCACATTTAAACAGAAGTTGACCCAAAGACAGGCACGTATACCTTCCTCTTCTCAAAACAAAACCGAAAGGTGTGTTAACTTATTATTGTGGAAAATGAAAGTGATGTGGTGGTAATTGAAATGTGTTCAGAATTTGGTGAACTGAGATTGATCTCACAAGTTATGAAACACTGCTCTCCCTTACATAAGCTGCTTTTATAGGTTAAAAGTATCAGTATCGGTATTGATATCAGCAATACCTCCCCTGTATTACCGGGTGTTTTTGACCTTTCAGAAGGGGAATGTAGACCATTTTAAAGATTCCTCTTTCCGAAGAGTTTACTATAGAAGAAGATCTTGTATAGAGGTTATTCTGCCTGTAAACACAAGAGCTCAAAAAGTTTTGAATCAATTCCGACAAAACTTTGCAGGGGTGTGAACCAGCGGTCCCCCACCAGATCGGTTTAATGTCAGACAATATTTTCACAGACCGGCCTTTAAGGTGTCGCGGATAAATACAACAAAATAAAATGATACGATCAAGACAAAAACTGGTGTTTTGTAAATATAATAATAAACGTGAATTCACTGTAATTGTGTAACTTTATTAGCAGAGTCCTCCGGAAATGCGCCAACAACATTAAGAGTAACATCCCCCTCTCTGCCCCATAATGCTCTCTGGTCGCTATGGTAACGTGTAAATATTTCTTTCAAAATCAGACGCACAACTACAACACGGGAAAAGATCCAGGGAAACCGAGTTAACGATAAAAACCATGAATTTCACACCTAAACCTCAACTCTCACGTCTCCCTGGTACCAGTTCGTGACCCGGGGGTTGGGGACCGCTGGTGTAGAGTGCGGTGATGTTAACGGTCCAATAAAATTTGACCTACATCTACTGAGGTCTTGAAGGTCAGCAGATTGATCTTAATGTCAAAGTGCTCTGTAGACTTAAACCTATGATTCTTCCTGCCTTTGTCTGTATTAACAACATATAGGCATGTAGGAGATGATATACGGGGATTCTAAGTATCTTCCTCTGAAGGTCAACCAGGGTCAAACTTTCATAAAATGTCTATTATCGTTAAAATTCTACTGCCTTTGTTTGTATTGGAAATATTTATGAAATGATGCTGTTATGCCTGGACTGAGGTAATAAGGTAATAGGCTTCGTCTGGCCACGAAACTGCTTGTCAGTCAACTGTCCCAACAAAAACTATACAGAACGAAGATCAGTGATCACAGGGTGGGTGGAAGACGCGATGAAGCACCTCATGATAACACCAAAATGTGCAAAGGATGAAAGAAATGACAGGAAATCGTGCAAAGTTGTGCAGTTTATGAAGACGTGCCAAATGTTTTTGTCTAACCTCACACCTTCATTTAATCGTCTTTGTGACCATTTGACCTTTGACCTTACAGATGTCACATGAACGCCAACATCACCTCAAATTTTTACAGGTGTGCAATTGAGAGCTTG